AAAAAAAAAGAAAAAAAAAACTATAAACAAATTCCTATGCACACTGCACATATTTGAAGTTAAAAAAAATGAGGCAAAAACACCCAGCGGTTCAGATAAATGTCCTCAGTGTCCTCAGCGGGCCGCAGTTTGAGGACCCCTGGGTTAAACCATTCTTATCTCAAATCTTCCCTCCTGAAAATATTCAGGATTCCTCTGAGACACCTACCAAGAAACTATATGTTGGATATAGTAAGTTAAGCATGTCTGTTAGGCATCACTTAAAAATAACAACTGTACAGAACAATGGAATTATGAAAACAAAAACCTTGCCACACAAAGCAATGACAGTATGTTAAGAGGAAGAAGACATAAAGAGAGACAAAAGTCTTCAATAAAATTAATTTCAATTACATTAAAATTAAGATAAACACAAACTCTAAACCAAACTCACTGCCATGAGTCAAATCCAACTCATGGCGACACTAAATATAGGGCTTCCCTGACTGGATATGAGATTGGATAGCCTGGTCTTTCCTCTGAAGGAAGGACAAAATTACGTAAATTTAATTTTTAAAAAGTGCCAAAGTTAATAGGTTAACTGGTATCATGAAAAAAAGAGATGAACCGTAAAGAGAAATGCGCCTATTTTTAAGTGTAGCATTTGGTTTGATCTGCACCAGCAGAGCAACAACCCTAATCTAACAGAGTAAATCAAACTGGATCCACATGCCCCAGTAGACATCCCTCTCTATCTTTTCTTCAAAGTTTGTTTCAAAGATTTTACTCGGGTGTGGTGGTGGGGGGTTAGCCTCACCAATTTTACCTCTCCCTTATGGAATATAATCTTACAATATTTGATTTGAAGTGTGATGATTTTTCTTAATATTTTTATCATATTTATCATTTACTAAATGATATACTCAGTCATTTACAACCTAAATTTAAATGAATGGTTATTGCAAATAACCATGAAACAAATGACCTAACTTTCCCCTTATTTCTCTATTAATAGTATAATTCAATATAGGTTATTCTAATTAAGGCTAACATTTTTTATGTTCAAAATTCTCTCGGGTCATTTAGTTCAGGACCAAGACACGTTTTGTTCTCTTGTACACTGGGCCATCATGAATTTGAGTCAACTGGAGCCCTACTGAGGACACTGCAGCCAGGGAAACGGTGCTCTCAATAGAGCACCAGCAAGAGAAGCTTTGTTTTGCAACCTGTGGTCCATTAAGACATGACATATTAGAAAATGTTCTCAGTAAAATCATGATGTACCTTAGTTTTTCACTGAATAATTACCCTTATTTACCCACAAGGAAGCATTTAAATGAACAATAATGAAGAGGTCATGGATAAGGAATGAAGAATCTTGAAAGCTTTCTAAAAGCTCCTGGCTTATTTGGAAATATAATACAACCATATTGGAGAAGACTGGTTTATTTACTCCCCTTTCCATTTTTTCAGATCTTCCATTATGAGATACATGATGAATAATTGATATTCTAGTCCTTACTTTATGCCAGCCTCTTATGAAATCTAACACCACCACCTTTTAATATGTGTATTTCCTGTAGGAACTAAAATTAAGCATAAATGGTCGATTTATTTCCCCTACAAACAAGCTCTAAGTGGTTGTATTCTTTGCAAATTTTGAATACAAGTTTTTTTTAATCCTGAAGAAATTCTAATGTAAATTGTTTGTTTTTCAGCTATTTACCCCAGATATATTGGTATTTTGTTTCATAAATTTCTATGATTTATCACCTAAGGACAGTGCTATTTGTTCAGGAAATATGGTGAGTTTTGAGTATAAGCAGCATCAATTCAAACAAAACAACAAATGACCTGTTGCACATATTATATTATATTACAACAAGCTGATATCATACTTTAAATATTAAGAGAACTCCAAAGATATTTTGCAGAGCCTTTGAGGTTCAGAGATACATTGAAAAAAGAGCCAATAAAAATCCAAAATTTACAGTTACTAAACAGTCCTAAAGCAGTGAAAAAGCAACTAAAAACAAAAGGTTGATTTATTTAAATAGTTAACAAAAATTTATTGCAAGAGATATTTTTCACTGAATTTACAGTTTCAAGGAACATGGTACAAAACAGTGCCATCAGCTTTGTCTAAACATTAAAGAGGTGCAAGTACACAAAGATTTAAAAAAACCAAGGAGCATACTTTACAACATAAATTACAGTACTATAAATAGATTTATATACATTATACATACTCTTAAGACGTCATTTTAATATACAGCATATATTGTATAGATTTTCAAACTGTTCAGTGCTTTCATAATAATATACATCAGAAACTTAAGGATATATCTGCATCATTACACTTACAGTAAATGATTTCAAATCAATGAGGCCACCAGTTGAGTTTTCACCATGAAAAGAGTCCCGCGCTGAGAGGAGCGCTGACGCCCGGAGCGCGGGATTTCACCAGGGGAGCTCCTTCCCTGATGTGACAGGGGTGACTAGAAGAGAGGCTGCAGGGGGATGACAGCAGGGTGCGGAGAAAGCAAGGAGGGCAAGAGCGCAGGAGGTAAAGGGGGGAAGGCCAGATGGCTTGGATGAAGAACTGAAGCTGAAATGATTGGCATTTGAGGAGGGGCCACAAAAGTTGAGTGGTTCCCAGGATAAAGCCTAGGTCCCATTGCTATCTGAGGTAATGATGTTCTGGATAGGGATGGGACTTGAGAAATAAACTGTTGGTGTGGCTGAAGCACTTTAAAGGTCCCTGCAGCTGCGGCTGCAGCTGCGGCTGCTGCAGCGGCTGCATGCTGCTGCAGAACAGTGTGGTGGATAGTGGTTACAGAGGTAGAACATAGGGGCTGCAAAGGCAAAGGCTGCAGAGGTGTACTGGGGGGTGGAGGAAAGGTAAACTTGACCTTGTTGGCCAGCATGTTCGGCTGTATGATGTGTTGGTAGGCCTCACACGGGAGCTCTTTGAATTTATCATGGTTTTCTAGGGGGATTAACAACGTTTGTTCTGGTAGAGCCAGTGGAGCCAGAATGTGTTCAGTTGTTACAAAAGTATGACCACTGATATGTGCTTCTTTGAATGGTAACGGTGGTTGGGTGTTAAGGATTCCTGAACTGTATCTTAGCCATTCACTTGATGACTCATTCATCTTGCTTTGTGGAAGGGCCTCAGCCAGTTCATAATGGCAAAGGTATGGTTTAGATTGTGCCTGTCTAATGTTCCTGTCGATATTGGGTACCTTGGAAGGAATGTGTTTTTCACTAATATTAATAGTTTCACATCTTTTCTTGTGGTCAGGCAAGGAATTTAAGGTGTTTTCAGTTGCTTCTTTTGTCGGAACACTAGCGACAGAGAGCGTTGTAGCAGGGTTACTGGAAACCTCAGAAAATTCACCAGTCTCCATAACTACACGTTCAGTTTCACCATTGGTTTCAAGAGAAAGAAGCTTGCTGGAGTCCAAAGTCAGGTTGTTTTCAATTTTGTCTGGTTTTGGGGAGATATTTGCTGTATTTGTAATTTCTTGTGGTTTTATTTCTTTGCTTTTCTCTTCACTTATTAACTCATCCGGGTCCTTTAAGAAAGATTTGTCTTTCATGAGATGCTTTGAATTCTCTTTAAGTTCCAGAGTCTCAACTCTGGTGTGGAATCTGCTTCTCTTTCTCCTCCTTTTCTTCTTAGGCTTACAGGGAGCAAGTGAAGTACTTGATGGCTTCCAAATTTCCCCCGGTAAATAATGATGATTTAAGCTTTCCTCTGAGGAGTAAGAACATGAATGTTGTTTACGTTTTCGATAGAATCTTTCTGATTTGAGAGAATTATTGCCTCTTTTAACAGCCTGATTCTGACTCATGTATTTAGCATCATTTTGAAGAACTAAGCATTTACGATCATGGCTGCAGCTCAACCTTTTGGCTTTCCAACTACAGAAAGTCCTGGAATATGTTATACCATGTTTCCCAGAATGCATTATGGTTGGACTTGATTGTCCGTTTAAAACAAGTGTGTTGTTTCCGTAGTGATTTTTAGAACTGATAGCAGCATTGTATTTGGTGTTCCATAATTTACACATTTCTTCATTTTCACTTAGATATATGGATGTTGATTTGGGCCTTTTATCAGGTGAGTAATGTGATTCTGATAATTGTTCGGCAGCTAAATTCTGCTTTTCTGAAATTGTTTCTGGTTGATTTGCTCTGGCTTTATCGTTGTAATCAGTCTGCATTTCCATTTCACAATGAGATTCTAACTCTTTGGTTTTCTCCCCATGATGCTGCTGACATAACTTTCTTTTTCTCTTTTTCCTTCTACTTTTGTGGAACCACTGTTCATGAGTATCTTTAAACCTCTTTTTGTTGTATTTCTCATCTAGAGTATCCTGTTTTATTTGCTTTTTAGCGGAATTGTGTTTGTCTGTGCTTCTGAATCCGCAGGATCTATTTTTATATTTCAGACTCACATTCCCATTCTTTCCCGAATTGTAACTCTTGGAAACAATTCCATCAGCTACAAGCGTGGTGGCTTGAGTATATTCGCTTCCACTGCCTACAGTGAGTCTTGAAACAGGAGTGTCCTGACACCTTAAAGCTGGTGCCTTGCTAAGGTCTTCTCCCTTGTGCTGAGAGTACACATCGTGTAAGGGTGGTTTTTTATTGTCTCGATTGTTGCTGGACGTAGTGGACTTGAAGTCAAAGCAGAGAGGGTTACAGCTGTAGGAGATGGATGGTTGAGTGGTTGTGTAGATCAGCATTTCTGATGGCCACGGAAGAACTGTCGACCCGTGTTTGTTTAGTACAGGTACAAATGGCTCACACTGTCTTTGACGTAAATCTGTTTTTCTACATGAGTTGGTGTTTTCCTCTTCGGTATTTGAAGAGGATGAAATCTCAGGGTCATGAGTTTCACTTTCAATTTCAATTGTGGTTACCTCGTTGTTCAAAACAGTCTCCTCTGTGGTAGCTTGGGAAAACAAGCAATCGTTAGGCATATTAAGAACGGTAGCTTTATTTTTTAACAATTCAGAGTTACTATCATCTATGGGTATGTCTCCATTAATAATAACATCTGGTAGTGTCTGATCTGCCTCTAGGACTGAAGTTTGGCAGTTGTCTACGTCAGAACATAAAGGGAGTGGAGGCTGGCAAAATGGAGGTATTGACAATGATGTATCATTTTTCCTAGAGATTTCTCGAGTCTCTTGAGTTCGAAGGCTTTCTTTGTCAGAGCCCATTCCCTCTGGTGGATGCAAAGTGTTCACTTTCTCTTCAGAACTCAAAAGCACATCTGTGGGTGACGACAGTTGAAGATGGCAAGCACTGGGGACAAATCGGCTTTTCCGGTTACACCCCTTTCCCACGGAGGCACCGTCACTGCACTCCGAAAAGGCTGCCGCGGAGGACTCCAGCTTTGCGGGCGCTTTCTTTGGAAATGCAAAAGAAAATCCGATTCTGTGTCTGTGGGTTCCCCGGGCTTGAGCTCCAAGTTGGTTATTTTGTGCCGTGGAATTGTTTGAGCTTTCTGGATCGGCAGCAACAGCGGTAACATTGTTAGAATTCTCTTCACTGTGAATCAAAGTACACTTGAATTCTTCCTGGTTATTAACTGAATCCAAAACAACGCTTGGTGAAACGTCGTTACGATTTTCTCTCACAGTAACAGTCGTTGACTTGAACCTGGGCCCACTGCCAGGAGCGCTGCGAAAAGGAGGGGAGACGGTATGTCACAGAGTAAATACACGCTGCGGAAAAACATCTAAACACATATTTTAAAATGCCATTGACGATTTTCTTTTTCCATTTTTTAATATTTTTGTAAGATATTTAGTTCACTTAATTTCATATGACTTAATTGTCTTCTTTTGTACCACAATTACCTTCAGTTATTGGCTATTGCTCTGAATGCCCTGTATGCTCTTTTAATATTACTTTCATAATGCAGTCTGATCCTCTCAGCCAGTGCTTCCTTCGTACTCCTGCCCCCCAGCCCCTACCCCACATAATCGTTTTAGGGATGTATCAAATGGGAGTAAATTTCTCTTCAGCTACTTTTTATTCACAAACATTTAATATTAATGATAGTATATGACACTACAAAGAAAGTGAAAAATAAATCAAAATTAAAAAGAAACCTCAATTGTGACTTCCAAAAGCATAGGAATTCAGTTTATAATTCAATTCAGCCAGCATTCACTAATATTCTAGTACCGGCCAAACATTATTCTGTAGTGCAGTGTTAAACACAGATAATACCAGCCTGAAGGACTTTGAGCTTCTTGAAATTGTTGTTCTTAATATTTAAAGATTTCAATGATGCTATAAATTGTAAAATGATACATACTAAAAAGACGATAAAAGACTATTTGCTTTAACATGCTAATTCTATTTAACAATACAACATTATAAATTCTGATTTTAAAAACGGTATGTATGGCCTAGCATACAAATATAACAAACCTGTGCATATTGTCTGCATCCTAACAGAATCCTGCTGTGTAAGATTTTCTGTTATTCTCAAAATTTAGTTTCTTAGAAGTTATAAATGAACTACTGTACCCAGAATGAAGGCTGAACATGGTATTGGGATAGGAGGAAGCTGCAAAGAAATAGAGGAAAGAAGTAGGAGGCAAAGGGCATATATACAAGCCTAACTACAGCCATGTACATATATAAATATATTTAAGATTA